GAGAATTGGGTAATCGGTTGACGGAATCGATATAATATGAAAATGATATAAGAAGAGAGTAAAAGATCCGAAAAGTTTTGAAAAGAAAATGAAGACAAGACAAAAATTGAGTAAAGCACTGAGAGTTTTCGATAGTAGTAGATAATTAATCTTAACTAGTTGGCAATCGGCTGAATGAAATAATTCAGTTCAGTTAACTAATTAAAGAAATTTTTCTCGGTTTAAATCACTATGCTAGATCTTTGTTGTGTAGAATATCATAATATAGAAAATATTCAGTAAAAACTTCTAACATAATTATTCTGAAAAAATAAATATCTAATTTTTGAGTGTGATTACTATGTTATTAGTTGCTTGGGTCAATAGAAAAAGTATTTAGAAGCAAAAAAAAAGTTTAATACCCAATTAACTTATTTATTATATATTATTTACCGAAATTTGCTTAAATTTGTTCTCTAAGTAAAGTTTTTAGTAATAATGATCTATATTGATCTTTTTCGCTATAGACATACGAAGAGGTAAAAAATACTTAAAAAAAATTATTATGTAAAACCACAAGTTGCTAATTGACGATATAGTTTTTTATAGTAAAGGTTATTTTAAAAGTTTTTTTTATATTGTATAACCCAGTGAATCAAATCAAATGTTCACCATACTAACATTATTAAAGTGATCTTGCAAAATGCATCAGCTAATGCTTTTCCTCCTTCAGATCTATGATTATTATTGAGATCTAACATTGTTAAGGAGGAGTTCTTGCAAAGTGCATTAGCTAATACTTTTCTTTTTAAAGACGTTAAGGAGATATTCTTGCAAAGTGTGTCAGCTAATGCTTTTTCTGCTTCTAATTCAAGATTAATATCACTAAGATTCAAATCTTTCAGTATGGTATTCTTACAAAGTGCCTTTGTTAATTTGTTTATATGGCTAGATTATAAATTCAAAATACAAGATAAACTTAGCTAGAATAAGCGAGTTGAATCAAATTCAACATACTGAAGTAGCACTCTAACATAACATAAGAAAATGTAACGATCTAAGAGAAGTGAATTAAGTAACTTATAAACTTAGTATGAGGTCATATCGATAGTAATATATTATTATTCGTGCTTAAAAGATCTGGTTCAGAACACTAGGTAGACAATTAATCACCCAGGTAGTAATATGCACAAAGAATTACAAATTCTGGAACACCTAATAAAAATGATTTTTCAATATATACACCAACTCTTTCTGACAATCACTTGGTCAACAACAATTTACCAAATTACAGTCAACGATATAGAAAAGCAACATAGTGGACACGGCAATATTCTTGATTTGGTACTAAGCAAACTTGTTGTTGATGAAGCCTACAATACGTGAAATATCAAGGAGCGGGCGTATAAGAATATTAGGTAGGTTTGTACCTTGGGTCAAGTTTTTCTATCTTCGACAGACTTCCTTACATATTCGGCATCCAAACTAGAAGGTTTATTCTAGGAACAAGTAGAGCAAAGTCTTTGAGCAAGAATATTAAGTAGATACTTGGAAACTGGACTATACAACTATAAAACTTACAAGAAGAACCTTACATATTCTCGTTAACCCACTACTTTTTTTTTCGGGGAAAATTTTGTAAAAAAGTGGGCGATTTAGCTTACCCCCTTCAAAAGATCGACATATCGTTTACTTACCAAATCGGTTGGCATTGTTTACTTTTTTCTCATTACAACAAACACATGGATACTTATAGAATGTAGATATATAGATTACGTGTCTCAGAAGTAGCAATCTGGACAAACAATGCTTCGAGACTAATTGTGTGAATTTCTGACTTCTCTATGGTGTCTGAAGCATGCTTTTGTTTACGCTTCTACGGGAGTTTAAACAAAAGAGGCTGGAGAGCCTATAGTGCTAGAGTATGGAGCCGATGTCGAAGAGCTTTTTTTTCCTTTAAGGTTTTCACTTAAATATACTAATTAGTTAAATTAGAGTAGAGACTAGTTTAGATAGTAGTATGTAATTTTTACAAAGCCCAACACAGGCTTATAATTGTGACCATCCGGTGTGGGTGAAAAATCCTATATTTTTCTTTTTTTTTCATTTTTCCCTTACTCCTTTCTTTTCTTGTTTGTATTTTTTATCGTATTCCCCTATATCTCTATATTTTTTTATATATAGTTTTTCTTTTTTTTCTTTTCACTTCTCTATAAGAAGATGTTATCAAATTGGTGGTACCCTATTGTAGAGCAGTGGATCGGACGAGCCTTCCGGTTAGAGTATTACTTAGGTTTTATCTCGCCAGTGTGGCAGGTCACCAATGGGCACTTGTTAGAGCAGCCGAAGGATATTAGGATCATAGGTTTAATGTTATAGCAATATATTTGTAATCATCCACAAAGATTGAAGCTTTAGTAAACATTAATCACTATCGCGATCTTGCCTAAGTGAAAAAAAATAAAAATAAAAAAAATAAAAAAATAAAAATAAAAATGATTTTCAACCAATTCAATTAAGCTATTGATTTCAATATGATTGGTGTACTATATATGGTATCTAGGGTTTACTACTATATATTTACGTAAATTATGGATGATCTCTTATAAGCTATTTGTGACTATATAGAAGGTATTTTAATAATAAAAAAATGATAACATAATATTATGTAATTATATAAAGTTTATGACTATATAGGAGGTGATTATATGGAGGGATGACTGTAATATCAACAAAAAAATTCTAATTTACACTACAAATAATCATCATCTATATCATTAATATTTCAAAATTTTTCTTAAAAACCACCTTTTATACTTTAGCAAAAAAATTCCTTTAAAATTTTACTATCTATAAGCAATACTCTTGCTTTATTCCAAACTTCATTTTAACCCTAACTATAAAAAAATTACTTTTTGTTTTAAAGAAATTATTTTGTTGTTTTGTTGTTATATATTGAAAATTACAGGTAATAATCACCTGTGGAGAAAATTAGTTATTTTCTATAAACAAATAATATACATTATCCGGCACCCTATTATGATTGGGACTACTAAATAACTTCAGTTATTTGGTATTTTTTTACACATTATTTTTTTTAACCGTTAATTTTTTATTAAATTTTTAAACGTTAATTTTTTATATGTTAAATTTTTAAACGTTAGTTTTTTATATGTTAATATTTATATGTTAATATTTATACGTTAACATTTTATATGTTAACGTTAATATTTATACGTTAACATTTTATACGTTAACATTTATATGTTAATATTTTATACTTTAATTTTTTATAGGTTAATTTTTTACACGCAAAATGCTTGCTGACTTTAAAATTTCACTAAAACACAAATTAATCATCTATTTAACGAAATAAATAGACTTTTCAATAACAAAAATCAACATTTCAAATTTATCGATAAATGAAATAAAGTTTATATATCACACATTTAAAAATCAATACGTTATCTGTTTCTGTCAAAATTAAATTCCCGCACGTTAATTCTGAAACCTCTTATTATGTTAACTCAAAACTTGTTCATGCAAGCTATTTAAAATTCATTATTGAGCGAGTATCCGATCGTCGTAGGATGCCGGATAATACCGTTATTGAATGCTTCGCACCAATAACTGATGTATCTAACGTAGAATTTGATCGTTTGATGTCTGGGCCCCTTCGGGGTCCAGCCATCTCACGATCAAATTCTACGTTAGATACTTTCCGTTATTTGTCAGTGTAACAATAATATTGTGATCATACAGATCACGATATGATTGTGCCCCTTCCAAATAACTACAGTTATTGGCTGCTTCACATCCAATAACTCTATAGTATTTATATGATTAGGGAAGTGTCATTTATCACCTGATTATTTTAGAATGGGGTTCTCTAACAAAGTATCATGTACATTGGTATATAATTAATCAGTTTTATTCTTGTTGGAAATGAATGTAGCGAAAATGATTGGGACCCATAAATTTTATCATGTAAGAGAGGAAGAAATATTTACTATTTACAAAAAATCAGGTAATAAATGACACTTCCCTTATTAATATTGGATAAATTACTAATTAATTAAAAAATTTACTAGTCAAATTGGTTTGATCAATTTAAACAAATAGTTTAATCAAAATTGGTCAAGTAATCTAGTTATACGTATAAATTTAATTAATCAAATCAATTAAACAAATTGATTCTAATCAAATTAACTAACTAGTTAATTGGTTAGTTAGTCTTATATAACTAGACTATTTGACCAATTTTGACTAACATTAATGATATTAGACCAAACTGGACATTGGTCGATTGGTTCGGTCCAATAGTCAAATTGGTCAACACTAATAATTATATAGTTAAGCATAGTTTATAAGGCCACATAAATTTAATATATTGGTTTCATAATATGAAACCCGGCCAGCCGGCTTTTTTTTTTAAATTTTATATTTAAAAATTTCTTTAAAAATCCACCCGGTTATTAAAACGTATAAAAATTTTTTTTACAAGTTTCCAAATTTTGACCCGGCTGGGTTATGAAAACCAATTAATTAATTTTAATTAGTGATTTTATAGGCAAAATTTAAAATATAGAAGAGGAGCACCAATTAACAATATTCTTTTATATTTGTTTTATTGTAAAATAACCCACTTTAGTATAATTTTATTTGATAAATATGAAATATCCATGAAACAACACTCATTGTTACATTTACACAGATGGAAATACAGTCCGAACTTGTATTACATTGGTTTATTGCAAAGTATATGATTTGTAATTTCTCTACTTGATATTTCTAATGTATTTTCTAACATCTATTGCTATAAGTAATCAAATATAATAAATAAATGAAAATTTTTAAAATTTTTCTATTAAAGAGAATAAATAAATTAAAATTTTAAAAAACAAATTCAACAATAAAGTCCGCGATATATATAAGGATGTTCCGGGAAATATATATATAGGAAAAAGTAACTACTTTTTTTTTTTTTTTTTTTAAATCATTCAACAGTTACCTAAATAATTTTAATATTTGTTAGCCATAAAGTTGTCGATATGAAAAATATTTGAACAAATGTTTGTCAAACTTACAGATTTAGCCAAATTTCGTGGGAAATCGACATCAACTCCATTTAATACAGCAAGATGATAAGATAACAATTGTAAAGGAATAATTGTAAGAAGACCTTGTAAACAGTCAACGGTCTGAGGCACACGAATTGCTTCATATTGAACTTCTATACCTTCATCACCATCATTACAGATAATGATTGGTTTACCCTTACGTGCTGTGACCTGTTGGAGAGCACTTTGTACCTTCTATTGAATATTCAAAATTGTAAGAAACGAGCTTTTTAAACAATAATAAGAGTTGGGAGCAATAAAGAAAACAGAATGTTTACCGGATATAAAGAATCTTTAGTCATAATAAGAATAACAGGCATATTCTCATCAATAAGAGCTAAAGGACCGTGTTTTAATTCACCGGCCAAAATACCCTCCGAATGCATGTATGAAACTTCTTTAATCTTCAAAGCACCTTCTAAACAAGTTGCATTTTGGAATCCACGACCCATAATT